AATTTATTAAAGTGAATTAAAAGATGGGATATGAAGACAAGTTGGTCGCACCAGCTTTAAAGTTAAGATTATTCTTAGATAAACTTCCAAACATTTATAATATTTATGTCATTGCTTCTATTTCGTGTATTTCGGGGTTGATGTTTGGTATCGATATTTCATCGATGTCTGCATTTCTTAGTAATGACGCTTACCTTCGTTATTTTAACTCACCAAAAACTGATATGCAAGGATTTATTACTGCTGCAATGTCGCTTGGGTCATTTTTTGGTTCTCTTACATCGGCTTTCTGTTCAGAGCCATTTGGAAGAAGGGCTTCGTTGCTACTCTGTGGATTCTTTTGGTCAGTTGGAGCTGCTATTCAATCTTCAGCACAAAATGTGGCCCAATTAATCATTGGTCGTTTTATTTCTGGTTTTGGAATTGGTTTCGGTTCATCTGTTGCTCCTGTGTATGGTTCAGAGTTGGCACCAAGGAAAATTAGAGGCTTAATTGGTGGTCTTTTCCAACTTTCAGTTACTCTTGGTATCTTGATCATGTTCTATATTTGTTTTGGATTGGGTAAAATACAAGCTGTTGGCTCATTCAGAACGGCTTGGGGTTTGCAAATTATTCCAGGATTAATTTTGATTGTTGGATGTTTCTTTATTCCAGAATCACCTAGATGGTTAGCCAAGCAAAATTATTGGGAAGAAGCCGAGGATATTGTGTCAAAAATTCAAGCTAAAGGTAACAGAGAAGATCCCGAGGTTTTGATTGAAATGGCAGAAATCAGAGATCAGATTCTGACCTTGGAGAAAGTTAAAAGTTTTTCTTACTTTGACTTGTTCAGAAAAAAATACCTTCTCAGAACTATTACGGCAATTTTTGCTCAGGTTTGGCAACAATTAACGGGTATGAATACTTTGATGTATTATATTGTATATGTTTTTCAAATGGCAGGTTACCATGGTGATGCAAATTTGGTTGCTTCTTCTATCCAGTATTGTATCAATTTTGCAATGACTATTCCAGCATTGTATTTAATGGATAAGGTAGGTAGAAGACCAGTGTTGTTAACTGGTGCTGCATTCATGATGGCATGGCAATTTGCCATCGGTGGGTTATTAGCTAATTATAGTGAACCTGATGCTATTAACGATACAGTTAGGATAAGTATCCCATCAAATCATTCACCTGCAGCTAAGGGGGTTATTGCATGCTGTTATTTGTTTGTTGTCTCATTTGCTTCTACTTGGGGTGTCGGTATTTGGGTTTACTGTGCCGAGGTCTGGGGTGATAGTGCTTCAAGACAGAGAGGTGCTTGTGTTGCAACTGCTGCTAATTGGATCTTCAATTTCGCAATTGCAATGTTTACACCTCACGCTTTCAAGACTATTACTTGGAAGACATATATGATTTTTGCTACTTTTTGTGCCTGTATGTTCCTTCATGTCTTCTTCATTTTCCCCGAAACAAAGGGTAAAAGATTGGAAGAAATTGGTCAAATGTGGGACGAGCATATTCCAGCCTGGAAGTCAGCATCATGGCAACCACATGTACCAATTGTTTCAGATCATGAAATTCATGGAAAGATGGATCAGGACCATTTTGAACGTTCGTCTCGTTCAGAATCTACCGAAGAAAAAGCGGCTGCTGACCACATTGCTTGATTCTCTTCAACCCATGCTTAGTCCACAAACATTCATTTCGCTCATCTATAAATGCAGTCTTGATTATGTTCAAGATAATTTGATTTTTACGAAGTCCGTTTATAGATTAAATTGGATTATTAATCAGATTACTTGCAATTTTATTTGATTCTTTGATTTTATTAATATTTATAGTTAAACTCAACTTGGATTAATTTTTAATACTAATACTTATGCAGATAATCGTAGGATGGGACAAATATGGTAAATATAACCTGATATCATAAATTTTGTGAGCCATAAATATATGTCTGATTATACTTCTTTAATTCTAAATTAAATTTAGGCTTTCTTTAATGTGTACCAATAAAGTACTTTCTATGCTAGCGACCTGGAATACAAATAAGTAATGTGCATCATTTTCCCCCTTAGTATGGTTCGCTATCGATTTAATATACTTCTATGAACACAAAACTATTTTTTCGAGTAAAATTCAGTGAAAAATACGACGCCATCATAAGTTACCTACAAATTCATTAGCATTCAATTCACAAAATAAGTGCAATTTATTAAAGAAATATATTACTATGTCTACTGTTCCAGAAAGTTTTAAAGCTCAAATAAATCAAGGTGTCCCAGGCCCAGTTAAGGCTAGGCCTGATCCTTTGCCAGCAGGTAAGAAAATAGCTCCTAACAAGAAAGCACCTTGTTCTTTTGACACTTCTTTTGATGCAGCAGCTACTAAGGCTACTGTTAATGGGCGTCAAAACGAAGTAGCAACTGCATTTGGAGAAATAGAGCAAGCACTTTCCAAAGGTGAGTATTCCGAAGCCATCAGATCGCTTTGGTACCTTAAACTATCAACTTTTTACAATGAAGATTCTGCAAATGTTTGGGCCTATATTGCTTTTGCCTTTGCTCATTTAGGCTTTTCTGAACATGTTGGATTTTCACTCAAGAAATTGAAAGAAGCTGGTTTGGACCAGACAGTTTTAAAGCAAGACGTTATGGTTGAATTAAAGAAGATCAGTAAATAGAGATAAACCAAAACGTTATTTAGATTAATTTATGTCTATTTAAGATACAGTTTAGAGATCATTGTAGATGTTAGCTTATATGCTTGCCTAATAAGCTTAATAAACTATAAACAAGCAATCGAATTCATTCATTGCTATGAAGAGAAAAATATCATCGTGCACACGTATGCGATCGTCGAGAATTACATGTTTTCATCATACTTCATTGAATTTACAACGATAAAGTTCATCAATTTCAATGGCTTTGTTAATGACGTAAGTCAATATCAAAGAGATCTTTGTCATAGGATTAATAAGAATTGAACTATAGAATTATATCATGGAATTATCGTGCAATTATACCAGATGCTTAATAGACAATTACACAGAAATTAAATTGGTTTTGAGAGATAGAATGGATCTGAATAAATATGAAACTGTTGAAAATTTTAATTGCGAGAGAGGAGTATAGATGTTGAAGGTGACAAAATTATGAGGTTTATCCTGAAGAGAGTCGTAGTAACAAGGTTCTTGTCTGGTTAGGGGATAGTCAGACACTCTGGTGAAAGATTAAGTCCTTTAATTTTGGAAACTGAACCGACAAGTTAGTATAGATGAGAAATTACTATGTAATAAAGCAGTATCAAACCAGCCATGGAAAATACCGACCCCTATACGTATTCTTTGCTGAGCTGGATAAGCCAGGGATGTTCTTATATTATTACTTAATTATAATCTACCTAACGCATTATCTTATACTTTTCATGCGATACGGGGATCAATTTAGGGAAAGGTTAAAAATAACCATGTGTATTTTGTATAGGCTACCTACCTCATTTGCAGAAAGTATTAAACCAGATTTTCAGCAATTGTCGTGTTATCTTTTCCCTCCGTTACATCAGAATGCGAACCTGAATTCTCACGCTCTTCAATATCATGCTTTTGACCAACTTCAATATCAGAGACCAATGGAATACGAGGCTGCCACGATGCAGTTTTCCAAGCAGGAACATGTTCATCCCAAATCTGTCCAATTTCTTCTAATCTCCTGCCTCTAGTTTCTGGGAAAAAGAAGAGAACATGAAGGAACATACAACCACAGAAAGTTGCAAATACAAAATAAGTTTTCCAAGTAATGTTTTTAAAAGCAGATGGAGTAAACATACCAATAGCAAAATTTAGAGCCCAATCGGCAGCCGTGGAAACTGCAGCTCCTCTTTGTCTGGAAGCACTATCACCCCAAACTTCAGCACAGTATACCCAAATAGCAACTCCCCAAGTAGGGGCAAACGAACAAACAAACAAATAGCAGCATGCGATTACTCCTCTAGCTGCAGCTACGTTCTCTTTTGGAATTATTATCCTGACAGTAGAATTCCCTTCGAAAACGTGTGGTATGGAGTATGTGGCTAAAAGTCCTCCAATACAACATTGAAAAATAAACATAAATACAGCCCCAATCAATAAAACAGGTCTTCTTCCAAATTTATCTACTAAATAGAATGCGGGAAGCGTCATTACCACGTTAAGAACATACTGGATTGAACTGGCAATCAAATTAGTGTTACCTGAGTAACCTGCCATATCGAATACATACACGATATAATACATCAAGGTATTCATTCCTGTTAATTGTTGCCAAATCTGAGCAAAAACGGCTGTAATTGTACGATTGATATATTTTTTTCTGAAAAGATCGATATATCTGAAACGGTTAACATTCTCGTCCAACATTATTTGCTCCTTTATTTCTGAGATTTCCACTAGCACATCTGGGTCTTCATGATTTCCATTTGCGTGAATGTTTGCAACTATAAATTCACATGCTTCCCAGTTACCTTGTTTTGCCCACCATCTTGGAGATTCAGGAAGGAAAAATAAACCGAAGAATAATAATAATCCTGGAATTATCTGTATTCCCCACGCAAGACGGAACGAAGCGGTCCCTTCAATCTGTGAACATCCAAAGCAAATATAAAACATAACCATAATCCCTACTGTGACAGAAAATTGGAATAAACATCCAATAAGACCTCTAATTTTACGAGGTGCTAATTCAGAACCGTAGACTGGTGCCACTGATGAACCGAATCCAATACCAAAACCAGAAATTAAACGACCACATATCAATTGTGCCACATTCTGAGAAGATGACTGAACAGCTGCACCAACCATCCAAAAGAATGAACAAAAAAACAAGGCTGCACGTCTTCCAAATGGCTCAGAAACCATTCCAGATGCAAAGCACCCGAAAAAGGATCCTAATGCCATAGAAGATGTAATAATTCCTTGCAAATTAGAATTTGGATGGTTGAAATAATTCCCATACTGATCTGTACCTATAAAGCAGGACATTGAAGCAATGTCAAATCCAAACATCATACCTGATATACAAGATACAATTCCAATGAACACAACATTGTATACTTTTGGAAACTTATCCAAATATTTGTTAAACCTTATTGCAGGTCCCACTAATTTATCGTGATAACCCATTTCAAAATATAATAAAACTGTTTAATTTGAGTGCAATAATATAAACCAAACCTCATTTGCATTTTTTTAGCAACGAAATATCCATTTAAATAAGATTTGGTTTCACTTGTACCCTCAAAGACAGTATATAGTATATATCGGATCAACGTTCAAAATAGATGCTTTAAAATGAGGAGAGGTAATAATCCGCCTAATATGAAAGATAATTGTAAGCCATTTTGTGGAGAGGAAAGTTTATTATAGAAGTACACAACAAAACTTGGACTAAAAATATGTTATTAATACAATACGAAGTTACAACATACGTCCCTTTCCTTATTAGAAAATTGCAGTAAGCTTCAAAGCTCACAACTTCTGCAGTGTCTTTATGTTCCATTGTGCCTAAGCCGCTTATATATCGTCAAAGATGGGACCTGTCATTTCTCGGGCTAATTAATCCGATTAAGGTGCCTACCCCAGATGTTTAAGTGCGCTACTTTCGGCCGATAATACGTGTTGCACGAAAATTTGCTGCAATGGAACCCTGTCATAATCGTAAACATAAATTGGAAACAATCGCACAACTGAGATAAATAATAAATGTTACTGAGACCACTGCACATAGCATTGCATTACCCTAAGATTTGCAACAGAACAAATTTTTGTAAGATGTCATAGACTAAGAATTAACAGAATAGTCAAAGCCAGAATAAAGGAGACCTATTTGGGAAGATAGTTTACTAGATCTATTAAGGGCTCCTCTCAGAAGTATTAGCATGCAAGTATAATAGCACTATGTACACCATCACAACTGCTTGCATGTAAATGCAAGAGGATTTTCTCTTGATATGAAAAATTTCAAGTCTAGCTGATTTTTCAGTTTTCAATAAAATTTACTAAAGTATGAGTATTCATATTGTTAACAAATGATTTAACCTGTAAAAGAAGTTATAACTTTCTTGGTGAAAGCAACCTCAATTAGATTAGATTAGCCTCGTGTAACGGTTTACAGTATATGTGGTAAATCTTTCTGCTCTCTATGTTCAATTCCTATCATGCAAGAAAGATAATCAAGATAAGATTTAGCTCCACCATCTGTCGCTTTATTAGATATCTGCTTTTGAAACTGTAGAAAGATCGTTTGATGAATTTACTTAAGGTATATAAAGGTCTCAGATAGAAAATTTGGGGATCTTTTTTAACGGAAATAAAATCTAATGACAAGTATAAGAACATTTTAATGAAGAATTTCCAAGTATCTAGGCCAATATTGCATTTGCGTTTACTCATTTAGGGATTGCTGAACATGTTGGTTTTTCACTTAAGAAATTGAAAGAAGCTGGATTGGATCAGACATCTTTAAAGCAAGACTTTATGGTTGAATTAAATAACAGCAGTAAATAGAGATAAACCAAAGTTATTTAGATTAATTTATGTCAAGATGTAGTTTGGAAAAATTGTAAGTACTGTTTTATATGTTTGCCTGAAAGAATAAACAAGCAATGATAGACAAGAACTCATTAATTGATAACAAGAAAAAAAAATTACTTTGGATAGGACTGATCGGAAAACGTTATTTACGTACATGTTATTACTATATTATTTACATGATGTTCCTAATAATGACTTTAATTTCAAAGGAACAAATGTCAACAGTATTAACTCGAGTGGAATTCATAGAATTGTGTGTTTGTATAATCGCATTAATATTAATACGACGCCTAATCCTAATCTGAAATGAAGAGTACTGAATTTTGACAATTAAATGTGAGCGAGTTAATAAAGGAATAATCGATTACGAAATATAATTTGCACCCACTATATATGGTATATGAGAAGGAACTATGAATACTAAATGACAATTTTGGTGGGTTATACCCGGAAGAATAATCATACGAACAATTATTTTTGTGGGGGAGCCATCAAACAATTTTGACTATTTATATCGTACAACAACCTTTCCAGAAGCTCTACTTTATAATGATAACAAAATTGAAGAAGTATAAGAAAAGAATAATTTATAAATATGTCTGTTAGAGAATTTCCAAAAATCAAGTCTGTCAAGACTTACATTTTAAATGGAAAGGGAATTGGTGGTGATTACCACAATGTTGAGAGAGGGCATTGGTTGATTGACAATTCTATATCAAATCCCATGTCTAAGTTTCCTGAGTACCGCTCTTCAAGAGTTAGTTGGGGTATTAATGTCTTAGGTTCATTTTGTGTAGAAATTGAGGCCACCGATGGTACTCGTGGATTTGCTACAGGTTTTGGTGGACCACCAGCATGCTGGATCGTTCAAAATCACTTTTTAAGATTTTTAGAAGGAGCTGATCCAAGAGATATTAACATTTTGTGGGATAAGATGTTTAGGGCTTCTATGTTTTATGGCCGTAAAGGTATTACAATTGCCGTCATTAGTGTTATCGACTTAGCTCTTTGGGATTTAATGGGCAAAATTAGAAATGAGCCGGTTTATAAGTTAATCGGAGGAGCCACTAGGGAGAAATTAGAATTTTATTGTACTGGTTCGAAACCAGAAGCTGCAAAAGAAATGGGATTCTGGGGCGGTAAGGTTGCTTTACCATATGGGCCTGATGAAGGTCATAAAGGTTTACAAAAGAACGTTAAATTCTTGAGAGATCATCGTGAAAAGGTCGGCCCCGATTTTCCATTGATGGTTGACTGTTATATGTCTTTGACCGTTTCTTATGCAATTGATTTAGCCAAGGCTACGGAAGATTTGAATATTAACTGGTTCGAGGAAGTATTACATCCAGATGATATTGAAGGTTTTGCGCAATTGAAGAGAGCTTTTCCTAGAATCAAGTGGACCACTGGCGAACACGAATATACTAGATATGGCTTTAGAAAGTTAATTGAAGGTCGCAATATTGATATTTTGCAACCTGACGTTATGTGGGTTGGGGGATTGACTGAAATTCTTAAAATCGCTGCCCAAGCTGCTGCATATGATATTCCAGTTGTACCACATGCATCTGGTCCATACTCGTATCATTTTGTTGTTTCTCAACAAAATACACCATTCCAGGAATATTTGGCAAACTCTCCTGACTCTACTTCTGTTTTGCCAGTGTTTGGTGGATTATTTACTGACGAACCGGTTCCTGTAAAGGGTTATCTTCATGTTTCAACATTTGATAAGCCTGGTTTTGGTTTGACTTTAAATCCAAAAGTTGAATTGATAGATGCTGACTTCTTATTATCCCCTTCGCCAGAAAAACCTTTAAAATTGACGAACGGTCATGCTAATGGCTATACAAATGGATACTCCAATGGCAAGACTAATGGAACAGCCAAATAAATAGTAAGCTATATATTAATTTATGCAATTAGTCTAGAATATTCGACACAACTTTAGAATTCAAGAAATCATGATTGAACTAATATTCGAGGTGTAGCATAAGAGATTCCTTTCCAATTTAGGAAATGATCCGAATTTCGAACGCATAAACTGGGGGAGCATTTTATGTACTGACTATAATAAAGAATTATTTCGCCTTCTACTATTCCGTCAAATAACATTAATCATGGCTAGCTTATTAGATGGCAAGACAGTAGCTATAACCGGTGGAGTGACAGGAATTGGTCGTGCTATTGCGATTGAAATGGCAAAAAATGGAGCCAATGTTGTTGTTAATCATCTACCAAGTCAAACAGAGCTTGTCAAATCCTTAAGAGAGGAAATTGGTGAAGATAAATTTTTAGGAGTAGTTGGAGATATATCAAAACCAGAAAACTGTGAAAATTTGATTATCAAAGCAGTTGAGAAATTTCATGAAGTCAGTGTTTTTGTTTCAAACGCTGGTATATGTGAATTCAAGGAATTTACGGAAATTGAACCTGAATTGTATTACAAAACGATTGACATAAATCTTAATGGAGCCTTTTTCGCAATCCAGGCAGCTGCTAAACAAATGAAGAGGCAAGGAAAGGGAGGCAGTATTATTGGAATCAGTAGTATTTCAGCTTTAGTTGGAGGCGCATACCAAGCACATTATACTCCAACGAAAGCGGGCATATTGTCTATTATTCAATCTACTGCTTGTGCATTAGGACCATATGGTATAAGATGTAATGCTCTTTTACCTGGAACCATCAAAACAGCATTAAATGATGAAGATCTAAGCAATGAAGAAAAGAAGAAATATATGGAAAAACGTATCCCCTTGGCAAGACTAGGTCAACCTGAAGATTTGGCAGGACCTGCAGTCTTCTTAGCAAGTGACCTTTCAAAGTATGTTAATGGGGCACAATTATTAGTTGATGGGGGCTTATTTGTAAATCTACAATAATCACTTGATATATAGTTTTAGTTTAGATTATAAGCCTTCAAATAGTTAGTGCTATATATTTTCTTCCTTGATTCTTCATCTAATTCAATTTTATCAAATAGCATTTCAGTAATTTCAAACCAATTTGATGTCAAGTTTTCACCGCCAGTGAGAGAGCAGACTGGCCAATTACTTGCCCATATTGTTCTATCTACATTCCAAAGATCAAAACAAACTTTAAACCAAGGATAAATGTATTCGACACATTTATCTTTATTTTTGATTATTTCAAGCGGCATCTCTGAAAAACCTCCCGATAATTTCATATATGAGTTTGGGGAATTAGTATAGATTTGTTTCATATAGTCTTTCCATTGAAGAAACTCATCATTTTCTTCAACTTCGGTTGGGTGAACTGCCAAGTTGGGTTTTGTTAAATGGTTGATAATATACTTTAAATTGGGAACTTGCTTGAGAACATCAATGGTTTCTTCAAATTGCCATAAGCCACCACACCTCAAATCTATACCCCAGTCAAATATAAAATTATTTTCATCCAACCATTTCAAAGATTGAACAAAATCCTTTTGTAGCATCGTATTTGGGGGCTTATCCTGAAGCAAATAGCGGAATCCTTTTACCAAGTTGAATTCAACAACCAGAGATCTATTCTTAAGTATTTCAACATAAGCTCTTAGCAGGCTCTTTCCCAAAGGCATCGGTGCCCACGGTACAATTGCTTTAATAAATTTTTGTTTTAACTCTGAAGCTTCTCCTTCACCTGGATGTAAGTTTCCGGTAACATTTCTTGCTACATAAAGATATTCTTGAATAGGATATTCACACCCTTCAAGACCTTTTGATAAATCAGCAATTGGGTCAGTTTCAATGAAAACCAATCCTTCAATTTGAAACCTTTCGCATACTGAATATTTTAGATATTCATCTAAACGGTAATCAGAATGTAAGGGATGAGTTTCGTCCCATTTCAATAACTTTAAGTTTTCTTTTGCAAATAAGTGAACGTGCGAATCTATAATTTTATATTTTGTTGAAGGCATATTAGATAAAGGTGAAAAGAGATTCTACTTTTCGAAAATTTTAACCCTTTAAATAATTTAGAGCAAATGGAATTATTATAAACATTGATTTTTTTGCACGAAAGAAAGTCGGTTAAATGTTCCTTATTAAATATTAGGTTTCTTTAATACAAATTGCACAATAAACTCTACTGGACACCATATTTTATTTCTAATTTACTATTTAGTTTGAACTAGGCGTTTTACCATATTCGCGTGAAGCAGTGTTCGATATCTTCGAAAAATAGATGAGAATATACTGAAAGATTCTTATTAAGTTAGTGCAAGTAACCTCGCATGGATATTTTGAAATACAATTGAACATATATATAATCATTATAAGGTCTTTTCTATGTTAATTAGTTCCGAAAGGTAGTCACTGTATTCATTCCATTCTCCCTCGGAAAGATCTTGATTTAGTGGAACACGACCCAAATGTGTCTCACCTATTCCAGTGGCTGTTAAAATAGCCTTTTTAATGCCAATCACACCGAATTTCACGACCAATTCTTCTCCTCTAGTGGCAATGAGTTGCAAATGGGAAGCTTTTTCGTATTCTCCTTTGTTGAATAACTTTAAAATTTCAATATAAATCTTTGGCGTAGCCCCACTCAAAGCATCAATTGTCCCTTTAAAGCCAACAACTAAAGCAGGGAGCAAGATCTGACCTAAACCAGTAAAACAATTGAAATTATTTTTAGCAATGTCACTATCTAAACCAATTAGGGTATGGTGGGATACATCTCCGTATGAAATTTTAGTACCTACAATATTTGGATTGTAAGACAATTTCTTGATAGTTCTGGGATCAATAAAAATATTATTAGAGACTCCGGGATATACATATATTAGTATTGGCAAAGACGACTTATTTGCAACTTCTGTATACCAATCGAAGATTCCACCTTGTTTAATAGAAGCACCGAAGTAATTGCTAGGTAATACAACCGCATATTTTGCCCCAGCAGTTTTGACAGATTCGATTTCGTCTAAGGTATCCTCCACGCTGTTTTGTGCGATACCGCCAATTAAAGTGAAACCAGGCAACTCTTTATGGATTGTTGAAATAATGGAAAATCGTTCCTGGCGAGTCAAATGTGAATTTTCTCCAGTGGACCCCATTACAACTAATCCACTTATTCCACTATCCTTCAAGAATTTGGCATGCTTAACTTGACTGATAAAATCAATAGTTACTAAATCTTTTTAAAAAGGTTGGAATAGGGGTATAGATACCTGGACGTGGTGGAAATGATATACTCATAGTAATTAATGAAAAAAATTGATAGCCTGACAATTATTGACCAGAACTTGAGTCTCTTATATTTTTTCGACACTTTAATGACCCGAATTGATCGGTCGGTCATTGATACTTTACTGCAGTGAACCCGCATATTTTAATACTAGAACGTAAGACCATTTTTTATTTGCACGATGGAGATAGAGGGGACTGGCCACCTTATTTTGCGTAACCGAAATTTAAGTTTGATAATGTCAATAATTTTTTGTCGAGTTTTCTATTGAAAATGACAGTTTTATATTAGCATCTCTTTTTTCTCGGTACGTCAAATTAGCTATATGATTTTCGGATATTTGATGTTCGCAGTTTCCTAATTCAAGTGGTTGCAATCATCAAGTCGCATAATATTTTGCACTATTACTTCTCAAACTTCAAAGCTGAAACTTTATGCAATTGCGAATCTGGTGGGACTCAATGAAATTACATATTCCGTAATTAGGATATTTATTATTTTCGATGGCGAAAAGAACAAACGATTTTGGGTGATGGTAGCCGAGAAACAGTATAATGCCAAAAGAATCAGCTTGAATTTCTACAAGAAATGGTAGCCTTGAGAACGCAAAATGATATTAGTTCTAATAGAAAACTATAAATGCTTCTTAATACCAGCTAATCAAAAGTTCGTTTAAGTTTTGTGAATGGTATATTGAAATAAAGTTGTCAAGGATAATTAATGAGGACATAATACAAGCAACGTGATGGCAAAACATCCATACAGTTCCGAGTTTGTATGAATTAATGTTTAAAGATAAAAAAGAAATAGCCACGATTCTAATTTGAACCAAATTAGAATTACAGATTTTTATGTCTGTATTCAATATATATTGATTTCATTAAAAAGAGGTCGGAGATTTTCTACAAAATTCAATGAAGAGTATTCAGAAAATTTTTTTTGAAATAATTTGAATCTATTTATCTATTATTGTTTGTAGGTAACTATTAGGGTATTTTCCCCCTCATTGATATTGGAAACTAAAATATGCTCTTCATTTTTCTTGTATTTCGAAATATCAATTTCGATATTGTTTAATTCTAATATTAATAATTCTTTATCATTTGGAACTCCAATGGTCCCAGTTGACCCTCTTGGTGCCAAAATAGCCAATTCCAAGACATTGGAAGTTAATTTTTTCCAGCCAGCAGATATGAAGCCCACAGACTTAGAAGTGTAACCAGTTTGCGCAAACTCTAAACTTCCTTCCGAAAATATACCTCTAGGAATAAACTCCCACTGCAAGTGGTCGGGAGTGACAAATTGCAAACCCACATGATAGAATGAGTAGAAGATGGTCGGTCCTGACGCCCATGGATGGCAGTGGGAGATATAAGACGGGTCATATAAGGTAAAGGGATACTTGCAAGAACCATCATGATAGTACCCTTCAATTAAGGATGATTGCACGCTGTATGGAGAATTCCAAATATATCCCCACATAGTCTTGAACAACTCAAAAGATCTTTCAGCATGACCCACTAAAGTATGGGCAAATAGTTCAATTGACGAAATAAAAGGTGATATCATACCCGGAGATTCTGGTGCAACGGCTCCATATCTCGTCCATCTTTTGGTCAAATTATCGGATATTAACTTTTTCTTTTCATTACTTGCAACGTCAAACCAAATAGCAATTGTGTTACCGTCTTGAGAATGAATCTCAGATCCCTCGTAGTCGTGAAATAGTCCTTCATTTTCGTCCCACAAATATTCATTAATTGATTTTTTCAATGAATTAGCTCTATCAGTATATTGGATTTGAGTTTCAATATCATTTAGAGATATAGCTAATTCGGAACCCTTCATCAATACATAATAAAGAATACAATTTACACTTAAGACGTGTCCCTTTAACGGGTTTCTTCCCCAGTCTAATGGCTCACTTACACATAAAGTACCAGTATCATCGACTTTTTGCAAGGAAAAATCAACGGCCTTTTTCCAATTGGGCCAATATTTCTTGACCCATTCAAGCGAACATCCAGATAGCTTGTGGTTCTGATACAATGAAACCAAGGTCCATAAATGATACAGGTCTGATCCGTACGTGGAAATTGGACTACATGCATATGGATACTGGCCGTTCTTTAATTGTTCCTTGAGCATCCATTCAGAGCCACTGATAGTTGAATCTGAGTTGAAAGTGATGAATTCAGTCAAGATTGAAATAGAACGATCACCGGACCAAATGCTTCTGTCTCTCCTTGCGCCATCGGCCAAAAACTCTTCTCCAAAAGAAGCAACAGCATCGTTAAACCAGCTCTTATTGCTCATAACCGCATCATGTCTACGGCCTGAGTTTGAGGGCATGGTAGATAATTGAATAGTATATGCTCCGGCATACCAAATAGTATTGACAAAATCATCATTGGAATAAAAGTATCCGCTGTAGTTAGATAAATCATCTTTTAAACTTGGCATACATGTCATATATGTATTAATGTTTTTTATTTCAATGGATCCTGCCTTTTCAGTCCATATAGTCAAATATCTAAAAGCACCTCTCTGTTTAACCCAAGGTGTTTTAAACACACCCTTTCTAGCCAAAATACAATGAACTCCATCTTCAATGAAAAAATCCATACTTCTATCACTCGTATACTTGTTAATAAATAGTTTTGATTCTGAATATGACAAATTCAATTCCTGATCGCTGGTAGAGTCACCAAACTCAATACTGACTAAACCACAAATGTTAAAGCCAAAATCAATAGTTACCAAGCTATCCTGGTATAGGATTGAAGTTTCCTTAGAATCAGCCTTCAATAAGTTTTCAGCTTCGTGAATTGTTCCTTCATGTTTATAAATTTCTTTGCCGTAAACAATTCTTTGATTTGGAGAAAATTTATACTCATTCCAGCTACCATTATTTGGCGTTGCATTGAATACAGATTCAGAAAATGAAACCATAATCCTTTAATATAATGCTATTTGTCATGATTGCATATATTTACTTAAATTGTTGTACAATTTATACAAAAGTAGATTATGGATCGTAAAATTAAGGACAAAGAATTCGTGCGATCTTTCTTCCATTGCCATTGCGGGGGAGGGGTGAAAAATACGACAAGCTTTTTAAAGAAACGTATCCGAACAAATATCTGATTAGGTTGTATTCCATTATCGTCAATGTTAAAATAAAGGTGGTACTAAATAAATTACAAAAGCCCTGTTCATGTATGGAGTAGATTACAATCTGCATTACTATATCTAATATTAAATCTATAAACTTCCAGTAGCAAAAAAGTCTACACTTGTCTTGGCCAAGACTTGTTTACTTTGCAATCCCTTATTTTTCATCATGGGATATTTATCATAGAATCCGAATAATTCTAGAATGATATCTAAGTCTGCATTACGGTAGCGATGCTCCATGAAATTCCAATCTTCAGTCGGTTGAGTCAAAAATGCATATTTAGTCTGTAAAATCTTAGCTAATTGTAACTCTGCTTCTAAAACACTAGCTTCATCCATAAGTAGTATTTTATCTTTATAATCGTTGTTGGCAACTCTTAAGAACTCTTTATAATTAGGTATAGCATTGTCTTCCGGTACCATAAGCATCGGTTTGGCCTTTGGAGTTACAATATAATCTCTCGCAAACAACCAGGAAATCAAATGATCCGGAATTAATTGTCTAATTGTTGTTTCATTTATTGGCACTTTAAGAATTGGAACATTAGCCTTTTCTTTCACCAAATCTTCTAACTCTTCTCTAGATAATCCATTAGGAAATGTGCATCCTCTTACAAGCAAGAAGAACGCGAGTCTCTCAGAAGACCACATCTTATAACATTCATCCTGAGACATATCTATCAAAAAGAGCGATTATTTAGCTCAGGAAATCATTCCTTAATATTTATATATTTATATATATATTATATAAATAAAATTTCTTTCAAAAATTGCGGGGCGGTAAAATACAAATAATTTCGACTGTTTAGGAATTGATCCGAGAGTTAGCTGTTCTGCCCCAAATTTACAGGAATAATACTAGGCAAGAATATTATTTGAAAATAAGCATGGACCATATTTTATTTTGTTCATAGATTCTGTTAGTATAAATAACCTCCGTTATTCTTAGAGTGATAGAATCTACCGAATATGGTCAAACAGAAAAAAGATTATGATAAAACAATCTCCAAGGATCTCTGAAGAGAAAGATGATCACGAATTAACTCAATTCGTGGAAGAAACTGCAATTCTTCAACAAACAATCGAGCATACTTTTACTAGATTCGAGGCTATTAAAGCTTATCCAAGAACATGCGTTTATATTTTGATATTGCTATGGGTTATGATTTTGGTTGGATATGAAAATCAGGCTGGTGGTATGGTAGTTTCTATTCCTACATTTAGAAGAGACTTTGGTTACTATTTTGAAGGTGATTATGTTTTAGATGGTAAATGGCAATCAGCAATATCTGGTGGCCCTAGTGGAGCGATTGTTATAGGTGGCTTTATCGGTTCGTATATGGCGGATTCCATCGGTAGGAAACTCACGCTTTTAATAGCGGTTGGAAGCACTATAGGGTTTATTGTACTTGAGTATGTTTCGACTACAATTGAAGTATTCTTTGCAGGGAAATTTTTGAATGCGCTCTCCCTTGGAATTATTGCAACTGTATCGACATCTTTGGTTGCCGAAATTACCCCTTTGGCATTAAGAGGGATATCTGTCGCAGCTGTAAGTCTATCATTATCTTTGGGGCCATTTGTCTGTTATTTGATTGCTAATTCAACGTCAGAACGACTTGATAGAATGGCTTATAGGAGTTTATTTTTAAGTCAATGGGTTTTTAGTGGAACGTCTTTCATCATGCTCTTCTTCATTCCAGAATCCCCGTATTATTTTGTGCTAAAGAATGCTGACGAAAAGGCTCTTATCCACTTAAGGAAGTTGTACAAAGGGGAAGCACTAGCAGAACATCAATTAATTTTGGTTAAAAAGACTGTCGAGGAAGCTAGACATACATCAATATCATCGTCTTTCATAGATTGTTTTAGAGGAATTAATTTAAAAAGGACATTTATTGCAATATCACCTTTTGTTATGCAACCTATGAGTGGCGTTGCCTATATTGGTTCATATTCTACTTATTTCTTTCAATTGTCTGGATTCGATACTCAAAAATCGTTTCAAATAAGTGTTGGTCAGCAAGCCTTGTCTATTCTGGGGTGTATTACTTCTTGGTTTATCCTTGATAAATTTGGAAGAAGGCATGTGATGTTATACGGAATGATTTCCTTATTTATACTTAATATTATTACAGCTGGCTTGGGTTGTAGCAAAGAGAAAAGCTACTTAACAGGTGCATCTGCATTTATGACTATGTATAACTTTTTTTATAATTCAAGCATTGGTCCTCTTTCTTATGTTATAACTGCAGAAAATCCTAGTTCTCAACTAAGGGTTAAGACTATTTCAATAGGATTGGCTGTAAATAATGGTTTGCAGTGCATGTGGCAATTTATTTTGCCCTTTATGTTCAATCCAGATCAAGCTAATATGGGATCTAAGATTAATTTCATCTTTGCCGCCTGCTGCTTTGTTAGTATATTCTGCTTTTACTTTTGGTTACCAGAAACTGCAAACAGATCGTTTGATGAAATCGATGAAATGTATATTAAAAATATTCCAGCTAGGAAGTTTAGAAATTTTATTTCGGATACGCAAATAAAAGTCAGTGAAATTGACGAACAAAAGGGTCCTACAGCTGAACATATTGAAGCTTGATAATTATATACAGTGGTTCTATTAGAGACTCTATGAATATGGTGAACAATATACAATACACTTGCTAAATTATATCATGTTTTAAATCAAAAGCATATTTCAAAGTGTAAAATCGTGGTGTAATTTTTGGTGAATTGTCGCTAAGCCTTAAATTTCTTTATAGTATGATTAGGTATTTACCCCCTTATAAAATTGCTAAACTACTACATGGAACTATTTCAGCGATGGAGAAATATATTTCGTTAGACTTGCTGGTCAGTGGATATTATTATATGGGTTGTTAAGATGCATCTACAATGTATCTTTTCCATTATTATCCATAAAGGGAACGTTAAATTCGTGAGCAATAGGTAATTTAAACCACTCAAATATATTTGAGAAGTCGTTTTGATTATTAGGTGAATTAGTTGAGATTTTGCTCTCATTTTGCTTAAACTCCTCAATTTTTTTCGATAGTATAACGTCCACAATGTAAGCATTAAGCCTCATGTCTGATATTATCCTCGCACTCTTTGAAAGATGCTGACCCTTTGATAGGCTATTAGGATCACTTTCTTCGTCATCGTCGTCATCATCGTCATCATCATTGTCATCGTCATTGATTTTCTCCTCATACTTATTCAAGACTTGTGACGTTTCCTGTGATATTTCATTCAGTCTCATAAAATTTAAATCATTCACAGTAGACTCAAATTCATCCATTTTCAAAAAGTTCAAAATTTCTGAATATTTCATCGAACTTTCCCATATTCCACCAATGTTAGATAGTATATTAATCAAATAATCCAACTCCTGCGGCATCTTATTACCATAATTTATAGCATTGACCAAAATTAATCTTGCGGTGACCCAAATGGCGAATGCATACTGTGGGCCACAAAGTTCGTAAATATGTTCATTATTATTAAAACATTGTGGTAATTTTTTGGAAAAATTCAATATATGATTGGCGGATTGTAAGCTTTTGAATCTGGCTTCTTCAGAAGATAAGAAATAATTCGAATGAAAGTATGGA